TTTTTTTTTCCTTTTGTGAAGTAAGAAAGATCAGGCACAGACCAACATTTAAAAGGTAATCTCTGTGTAAACTTCATGTTCTTAGATTTATGGTAGCAAAATAAACAGAAGATTATCATCTCCTGAGGATGAAAGAAACAGGTGCAGACTGTAGACTCTGGGGGAGAAATCAGGGACACATTTGGGTGTTTCACTATTTCTGTTTATTGCTGTCTGTCTTTTTTTAAAAAAGACGTGACTTGAATAAACTCTACTTCATTAAAAAATAGTTCATACAATATTTTTGTATTGATTCTGTTGATTAAATATTTTAAGGTCATACATTGTTTAAATTTAAAAATAAAATAGCATAGTTTTCTTTATCCATGCCTATTTTAATGGTTCACTAAAAATATACCACAGTTATGGGAATCCACCTTTTTATGATATATTTGGAGTATGTGCATTATCAGTGCATATTTGACAAAATATATCCAGCAGAGAAATCTGCAAATTTTAGTTTTATTTTGTTCTTTTATGCTTTCTGATCTGCAGATTTCTGATACTGTGATTCTTGGGTGGGGACCCCATAGTTAGTCAGATTTATAGAGCTACATTGCAATCAAATTTGACTTAAGAGTTGCACTTAGGAGTTGGTCCTTGACAGATTACCTTTGGTCCAGTAGAGTGCAGGGGATGATGGGAAAAGGAAATGTTGGAAGAAATGGTGGTCATAGGAGTCCCCAGAATTCCACTGTTTTCTATTTCAACCTCAGTACTCCAGAAGTACTCCAAAGTTAGAAAAGTCTGACCCCAGTTAGACCAAAGCAAGTCCCCTTGAAATCTTCAGGCTGATCCTCCTTTCCTGATGGAGCAGTCACATACATTTTTGTCCAGGAGTATAGGACCCACTGAATCTGCAGCTATACATATAGTCAAATTATTTATTAATTTAATTGGAACAATACAGCCTCAAATGCATTAGCACAATGAAAACATTTTGAAACAGAAACTGCATTTGTCTTTACAACATGCTTAGATCGGCTTTCTTGCTACCATACATCTCTATTGCATTTATCCTTTGTCTAGTGTTTATTGGCGAATATTTTGTATCCAAAAGAAATTAAGTTTTTCAAAGTAAGATTGTGTGGATGTAAAGATTGATAGAATGTAGATTGCAGTATTAGTTACTTAATGAAGACCTCCATGATAAAAGTGATTATAATTTACAATTATGACAAGAGTTTCTTTTCTCCTGATATGTGTGCCCAAAGGTTGACATATGATTCTTTTACTACCATGTAGAACATGAACAATCATTTTACTATTAAGCTGTTGGAGCTGTATATGAGAACCCAGCTATTAAAATCATCAGCAGTTACATGTCACAGAAATTGGTTGTAAATCCAATTAGATATGGTAAACATAATCCAACAACTTTGAATAGAGTATAAAACTAACTCATGTAAAAGCAAAGTTTCAATTTTCTTTTGCATCATTTATGTTTTAAGGCAATCTGAGTCAATAGTTAAGGGTATCTGAATCAGTTTACTACTTACTAGCATTGATTCAGTCAGCAAGTCTGAATAGGAGTTTCCACTTCTCACCAAGTACTTCCTAATTTCTGACCCTTAATATTTATTGATTTATTAACTCATACATCAAAATTCCTTTTTAAATTTTTAAAAATTATTTTATTTATTATGTTTTATTTTCTGTGTATGAGCATATTCCCTGCATGTTTATAAGTGCTCCATGTTGCAATGCCCGAGGAAGTCAGAAGAGGGCATCAGATCCCCTAGAACTGGAGTCAAGGACAGTTGTTAGCTGCCATGTGGGTGCTCCAAAGTGATCCCGGGTCCTTTCTGCAAGAGCAGTCAGTGCTCTTAACTGTTGAGCCATCTCACTAGCCATCCCCAATTTTTTGTTCTGTTTCTTTTTTTTTTTTTGAGACTGAGTCTTCCTGTAGCCCCAGTTGGCCTGGAATTGGCTATGGAGACTAGGCTGGCCTCAATCTCACAGAGATCTGGTGCTTCTGCCTTCTGATTGCTGGAATTAAAGGTGAGTGCTACCATGTCCAGCTCACAATTCTTTATGATAGATCTCAAAGATAGTTGCATTGAATAACAGGGGCGGGGAAAAAACCAAAACTAGCTTTAATTTTAACCATGATGTAGGATAATAACACACCAACCAGTTATGAATCTCAGTCTTTATTACAAGTCAATTTTTATTGATGTTGATGGATAAAATAGTGTTTTCGGTAGAGAAAATGAAAAGGCCATTACAGAACCCTGGAGAGTTGGAGACTCAATGTAGGGTTTCCTACCTTTTTTTTCCCCCTGAGAATTATTGACACAATGAGCATTATTACTCAGAACATTGCCACAAGTTCACATGAGCAAGCTTCAAGTAACCTGAAAGTCTCTGCTTCCCTGTGTTCATGAACCATCCCAGGCTTTTAGAGTTTTTCTGGCCCCTCTTCCACAATGGTCCCTGAGATGTAGGTGGGTGAGGTTCAATATAGGAGTCCTATCCAGGGATAGACACTCTGTAGTCTCTTATTCTTTAAAACTTGTCCAGTTGTGGCCTTCTGTCATACTACTTTTTAATGTAGGATATTATTTATATTTGGGGAAATATTTTTTTGGAAGTTGTGAAAAATGTTTTTGAGGAAGCAACCCTTTTTGTGAGATGGTAGTAGCCCTGGATGACCTAAAACTTGCTATGTAGACCACGCTGGCTTTAAACTCACTTAGATTCACCTGATTCTGCATCCTGGGTGCTGGGATTAAAGATGTGAATGGTCACACCCAGCTGAGGTTACCAACCTTGGTTGTCTCCTGGTTATGGAGCACCTAGGAGATTAGTAAAGTACACTTCTGGGTGTGTCTGTGAGGAAGTTTCCAGAAACTTCCAGATCCCCTGGATCTGGAGTTATAGATGGTCACCAACTAAGAGGGAAAGATTCACTCTGAAAGTAGGCAGTACCATTCCATAAACTGGAGGCCCTGATGGAGTAAAATGTAGGCATTCTCTCTGATTCCTGGCTTCCATGGTGTGTTTGTGGGCACCTAAAAGCCCCACCTTGCATAGGTTGGAAAGGAAGTTACTGGGGCTGTGGCCTGGCTTGCTTTGAAAGTCTGAAGAATACTTTTGCACTGCTGAGGAGTGCGTGATCAGCACATGACCTTGGGGGGGGGCGGTTCCAGGTGCCTTTATAAGCTTTGGAACAATTGCAATAAATGAGTCCCAGCTTGACTAGGCTCCCTGTTGCATCTGAGTGTCCCCAAGTAAAGGGGGCAGTGTGGTCTGGTGAACAGCGTGCATACTCATCCCCAATCCTCACCTCGCCGGGGGTCGCGGGTTCGAACCCCCAGCATCTGTCGCTCAACCTGGCAAGAACCTGGTAAGAAGAAGAGAAAACTGATTGGGGCCAATTGAGGAGGTTTGGGGTAAGCAAGACCCTAAAAATGGGTAACGCAATTTTTAAGTTTGAAGACCCAGCACTTAAAGCCCTGAGAGATATGCTTAAAAGCAGGGGATTGGATTTTTCAGATCCCATAGCTCAAAAGGTTTGGGCAGAGGTGATTCATTTGGCTCCCTGGCTACTTTGTTCAGCCCAATAGCCTTAAGCCCTCGGCACCACCTCTTGATGAGCCTTCAGAAACCCTGGCATGGGAATCATGGAAGAGTTTGAGGAAGAAGGCAAAAATGCAACAGAAGTGAATCCAAAAGCAGCCAAAGTAACAAGCAGCACCTCGGGCATGCCCTGGCCAGCTTCAGGGCTTCCTGAAACCCATGAAAACCATCCCCATTTCCAGGATCCTGACCCTGCTCAGGAGGCTTCTGTGAGGCCATGGGTGGAAGTGTATCCTATTAATGTAAACCCAGGAGGTGCGTGCCCTGACCCCTGGTATCCCTGGGAGGCGAAAGATTTGAAGGAATTAAAAAAGGCGGTCGCTGAGGATGGCCCGGGATCACCCTGGGTAGATACTCTCCTCCAAGACTTGGCTCATCAGCAGTGTACTACAATGGATTGGCTGGACCTCACCAAAGCAGTCCTTCCTAGCCCTATATATATTAAATGGTGTGCCCTCTTTAAGGAGGAATGCAGGATACAGGCTGAGAGGAATGCAAGTGCCAATTCACCAGTCCGCATTACTTTTGGGATGTTGACTGGTTCAAGTGACAATTATGCCTCAGGGGAGCAACAGTTGGGCATTCCAGCCCCATATACAGAACAGGTTAGGGTCATAGGATTAAATGCTTGGAGAAAATTGGACAAGGGCCTACTAAATACCCCTTGCAGGAATTAATCAAAAGCCTGGTGAACCCCTCTATGAGTTTATAGATAGAGTGGAGAAGAGCTTAAAACGAAAATTACCCCCAGGCCCATTGAGGGAGAAATTCACTAAACTCTTGGTATGGGATGGAATGGATGTCGATCAAAAGATAGCCTGTGCTGGCCTTAAGGACAGGTCCATGGAACGATGGAGAATTGTCTCCAAGGAGGTGGGAACCCAGAGGGGGCAAACCAAAGCCATGGCAGCTATCTTACAGATGCAAACAGAGGCTCTGACCCATGCCTTAACCCAGGCATTGAATTCACTTAATTTGGGTCAGCAGGTAACAATGGGGCCTAGAGGGATAGAAGGTCCATATTTTGGCTGTGGCCAGACTGACCATATTAAAAGAAATTGCCCTCAGTGAGAGAACTGGCCTAAGCCTGGAGGTGGGGTATCAAAAAGACCCCCATCTATGCCCTGTCCCTGGTGTCGCAAAGGGCTCCATTGGCAAAAGGATTGTGAATCCAGATTTGATATTGAAGGAAAGCCTTTAAACTACGTGGGGTGCAGCCTCCAGCACGGTTGACAAAAAGAGGACTTCCCCATGATCGGCTACATTTATAAT